CCTCGTTTTTCTCTTCTCCAACCTGTCCCTCATCTTCCTCATGCCCTTTGCATATTTCTTCACAGAGTCTGAGGGCTTCGCTGGCTCCAGAAAGGTAATGTGGGACTATTAGTCAACTCAGGCCAGAAGCAGAACTCTGGTCTGGGGAGTTGACACAGGAGATAATTTGCAGACTTCAGTCAGAGTTAAGGGATGGAACAGGGAGTCTGAGGCTGTAGCAACATGAGAAGTCATTGTCACCCCTAGCCTACAGGGCATTTCTGGAACTGTTGGCAGGTAAAATTGAGAACATGAGCTCATTTAGCAGAAAAGTTACTGTCTTAACTGTCGTAGCTGCTGCTGGGAGCCATTATGCCACAGGTGAAAGAAAGCGTGGGAAATCCCAGACTTGTTCCACCGCCTTCCACTTCCCCGCTGATCCTTGCATTGGGCAGGCCGAACCAGAAGTCAGAGCAGAGAGCCTGTGTGATGCAGATGTCAGGGATCATCTCCTCGGAACACACGAGGAGACTGAATGACTTGAGGATGGGTTTACAAGTGGATCCCCAGGATATGGAATGAACCCAGACTGGGGAGTAGGAGGGCAGAGTGATTCAGAATTAGAAGAGAGAAACAGCCCCTCCTGCCTGCTGAATCCAGACCTCCTTGGTCTCCCACCCCCAGCCACAGCTCTAATGTCTCCTTCCTTCTGTAAAGTTGACCCCCTCTCCTCTGCTTTCCCCGTTTCTTCCTCCTGTAGGGTGTCCTGGGCCGGGTCTACGAGACAGTGGTGATGCTGATACTCCTCACTCTGCTTGTCCTGGGCATGGTGTGGGTGGCATCCGCCATTGTAGATAATGACAAGGCCAGCAGGGAATCACTCTATGGTGAGAGTTCAATTTTCTGTCACGGATCTAAAGGAGGAACAGTTTTGGCTCATGGGTTCAGAGGTTTCGATCTGTGGTCATTCGGCTCTGGTTTATGGGCTGTGTCCTTCCACCTCCTCTTCAGAGCTTGTAATCTGAGCTCTTGGGACTAAGGGTAACTGCCATGAGTTCATACAGTGAGTTTGCATCTTGGGATACAGAGGAAGAGACTCTTTCTCTCTCACTCTCTCTTTTGGTACACAAAGAAACCTTGGCTATTTTCCAACTCACAGAGATCTGCTTGCTTCTGCCTACCAAGTGTTGGGATTAAAGGTGTTCACCACCACCACCACCCACCCATCTAAGATTCTGTTTGAAAAGAAGAGAAAAGAAAAGAAAAAAATCCTGGCCCTTGAATTGGCCATGTGCATTTGGTCAGCTGTAGTCCTCCTAAGTGGAGAAGACAGGTAGCGTTCCTGTAGGCTGAAGTTCCAAACTGATGGACTTTGGACACATCCAACACATAGAAATATTCCCCTGGGTCCACTCAGTGATTTTAAAAAATAGATAATCAGCCAGGCATGGTAGCACACAGTTTTAATCCCAGCATTTAGGAGGCTGGGGCAGGTGCACCCCTGTGAGTTCCAAGCCAGCCTGGACTACATAGAAAGACCTTGTTTAAAAATAAACAAATAAATAATAGATAACCAATTGTTGACGATGAAGCCCAGGCTGGCCTTGAAATCTTTCTGCCTCGACCTCCTGATTCTGCTGGGGTTACCAGGCATGTGTACCACCATACCTGGCCTCCCACTTTAGAACTGAGACGTTTCATCTCAGTTTCTGCCTTGCTTGACAAGGGAGAGGATCTGGCTGTACTTAACCCTGCTCACCTGGACCTGACAGCAGCTGTGTCTTGTGTAATTCGGGGTCTCTAGTTGGCCCAGCACTACCGCTCACCTGGACCGGCTCTCCCCATGTGTGTTCCTTGCCTGTAGCCTGCGGTGTTTGAATCGTGTTCTTGTCACCTGGTACTCAGGAGGCGTGAGACAAGCTGACATGCCTTTCCTTGTCTCTAGACTTCTGGGAGTACTACCTCCCCTACCTCTACTCCTGTATCTCCTTCCTCGGAGTCCTCCTCCTCCTGGGTGAGTGCAGAGTCGGGGGGGGGGGGGGGAAGGGCAGGGAAGGATCTGAGGGGTGACTGACCAGCTCTTGTCCCACAGTGTGCACTCCGCTGGGTCTCGCCCGCATGTTCTCCGTCACTGGGAAGTTGCTGGTCAAGCCTCGGGTATGTCGTGCCCCTTGCCTTCTGTACAGGGTGAATCTTGTGCATCTGAAGCCGAGCCATGAAATGAACCTGCATTTGTGCTGTGCACGGCTTGCAGAGGGCCACCGCCTGGGTTGGCTTCCGTGTCCCTTGCCCCATCCTCTTGAGCCGGTCAGAACGTGAGGGATTGGAAGGGATAGGACAGAGCTGCTGGGCACGGGGTGTGAAGGAGAGTTAGAGCCAAGACTGGGGCTGCAGAGGGCTGTCGGGGTCAGAGAGCCCCTGACAGCGCCCCCTCCCCCCTGCCCTCAGCTACTAGAAGATCTGGAAGAACAGCTGAACTGTTCAGCGTTTGAGGAGGCAGCTCTGACTCGAAGAATCTGCAGTGAGTTCAAATACTCCCTGGCTTGGGTGGTGGCCTGGCCTTGGCAAGCGCTGAAGGGAAGTGTGTTCTCTGCCCTCAGATCCCACCTCCTGCTGGCTGCCTTTGGACATGGAGCTGCTGCACAGACAAGTCCTGGCCCTGCAGACACAGAGGGTCCTCCTGGAAAAGCGGCGG